CAACTGCCCTTTATTTAAACTCAGTGTTAATAAAAAAAGCTTCAATTCTTAAAAACGACTAAGTTCTATTACATTATTATTAATACATAGTTTTATTTTTAAAATTTTCTCTTGTTTTAGTTTTATCACTTGCAGCTCATTATGCACATTCTCATATCACTCCCAGAAGCACACAGGACAACATACGACTGGCTGGTAACTGCACCTACTTCGCAGTGTTGCGTGTTATTTCACAAACCTGGTATTACACACAAAAGTTCCCTTGAGGCAAAATTTTTTGATTGCACATAAAGTTTCATGTCCAACCTTGAGTACCTGAACAAAACCTTCTGAAATTGTGTAGAAGCTTTGAATGAGGCACGGCAAGTATTAATTTTAAAAGATAAAACACTTTACTTTTCTGCGCTCAAGTTATTTCTGTTCTGTATGCATAACGATGTCATACAACTAGTCAGCTAAATATCACAAATTTTCAGTAGATGAAGCAGATAAACATTCAGTGCCAATTAATTCCATACTTTATAGTCAATGTGCAACAAGGTTGGTGAAGCATTATGCTCGGCATCTTATACCATTATAACTCGGCTTATGCCACAATAATTTTGGCACCACACACTACAGCTTAAAATTTCAATTGGACACACTAGTAGTGATGCTTTCTCTCCCCCTTCCACCAATGACAAAATTACAATACTCAGACTTTCATCATTTGCTTATTTAAATGAACTTGCAAAATGGTATGTTATCTGGTTAAGCCAGATAGCTTGTTTGCTAAGTATTTGTTTTTTACATGTTATTGTATTGGCAAAAAATTTGAAACAAAACAGGGGACGGGGGTCAAGCCACCTTCACCCCTCACTCCTTAACTCATGTGCCTGTTCAATTGATATTAAGCTGGCATATGAACGCTACTGCAGTGATGTGTGAGTCGACATAATAAATATAAACATGAGCTGACCTAAGGGTGATAGTAATGCTGAAGCTGAGTAGATAGCACGAGAGGTTTGTAAAACAATGTGGAGCTCACCTAGACTCACTCATGAAATAAACCTTGCCCTTAGGGCTCACTCAAACTCATGCTCATCAAAGTTTTCCTCAACCAAACGCGCTCATACTCAGACTCGCTGATATTTCACTCAATCTGACTCACCAAAATATTACTCACCCAGACTCGGACTGATGGCTCTATCCGAGTCTGAGTAAGTTGACTCGTGAGTAATTTTGCCAACCTATGATTGGCACATTCTATGCCTTTATTTCCCCATACATAAGATAAAGTGCCCAATGAACTAAAAAAAACAGCTTAAGGAGACAGAGCCACTAATTCACTGCCACTAACTGCAATATGACAATGAGCTACAATTACCCGTGTTTCTCGTCCCTGTTTTTAGATTTTGTACATATCGCATTACAGATGAGCTATCTCAATAATACTGGCTCAGGCATTCTGGTAAGTGTATCTTTTAGTTTTTCAGCCTTTCAGCCAGGGGCCACAGTACTCGTGAGCAATCACTTTTGCTAACGTCACTGTATAATGATGAGCCAAGCCAATTCAAGTAACAAAAGAAATGTCACACCCACCATGAGATCATCACTTTTGAATGACATAGTTCTGAAGTTCTTTGACAGCATGACATCTTTTTAAGGGCATAAAATACTAAGCAGAGAAATTGCACCGCAATGACAGATGGAGAATAAACTTCTTGGCGTTTCGAATAGGTTATCTCATTTGAGTAATCTCTGACTACAATGCCAAGAATGTGTAAGAAAACACAGACATTGTTTCTGCGAGCCACAGCTCCTGTGAATCCCTCATGAGACCTAGGCTTCTCACATTTCATCAGCAATTTACAGACATGTAAGCACAATAAAGCAATATGGGATTTTAGTGGCACGACCGATGATTGAATCACTTGTGCTCCAAATCACAAGCACAAAGGGCACTCAAGCTAGCACACCCATGTTCCTTCATGAAATACAGTGTTTTTCACTCAAAACAAAATGAACATTGCTATACAGGAGCCATACTACTGGTGCCAGAAAGGTTATTCAAGGGGCTGAACCATAAAAGACCAAGAAGCTTCTAAAGTCAATTTGCGTGGACCCTAAGTATTGCCAACGTTCCTCTTATCAACTTGTAATACTAAACTACAGCACCCACAGTGACAGCAGCTTGGCCTCTTCTCTTTTACATGCTTCAAGGTGTTGGACTGTGTGATAAGTGTCGAACTAAAACTAAGGCCAACAAGCTGCAGACTAACAACCAAGGCAAGCTTTCAGCCACACCACTTTTCTAGCCATCCCACTGTTGTGTTTTCATGACGGTGGAATAAAACTGCTCTTTTTTCCTTTTCTTCAGGATTTCAAAAGAAGCTAAATTCCACAACTATGCCCTTGAGTCTCTCAGTATATTTAAAATTTAGAAAATATAATTAGAATATATAATTAGAAATATAATTGTAAGTGTTCCCCCTAAAATTGTGCAGTTCCTCCCAATATGCACAAAATGTGCATACAACACTAGGATGTTGGGAAGCATCTCAGAATTAATGACAGCAAGAAAAAAAATCAAATGCAGTCAGCATTCCGCATGTGCCCATGAAAACAGAAATTGCCAAAATAGAATATATCTCTATTTTATATCATTCAACAAATAGTAATTCATTACTTTTACTAAGCAACAAACATTATCATATAATGATGGAGGTTTCACATTCTAATGACACATGTGTGACTCAAGCTGTAATGTTTTGTCAAATGAACCTATTTTGCAGGTTCATTCACACTGCACACAGCAAATGTCACCATGATATTGACACTATATCGCCCCAAAGGAATCAACTAAGAGTGAAAGAACTCAGTATACAAAGGAAAATTGAAGCATATAAAAAGCTCAGCAGTAGTAGCCTCTCAGCCCAAAATTCGGCATACTCTTGATATGAGATCTCTGCCATACATATCCAAAACATGGAAAATAGGTCTTTCTGTTAGAATGCAGGAATGTATTACACCTACTTTACCATTTGACTGAATGTTTTTAGCGCACCCACACCAGTTATATAATGACTTGACTCCACTCACCAACTTGTCTTATACAATGTGACACATGTAGCACTAATTTAGCATTTCTAGAATTGTGAAAGTAAAAGAAATGACTAAAGATAGAAGTGAGTGCATATTAAGGCATATGTCACACTTGACACCAGCACCAACATTTATGACAGCAAAGGTATGCAGTGAGGCTCACAGTACATCTGCATCACTTTAAAGCATTGTAAAGTCAGCTTCTTAGTACTGCAATGGTCTTGTTAAAAGAGCCAGTACCAGTTGCAAATGCACAAATGGTTTCTATGCATTTGACAAAAGCTGCACAGCTTGCAAGCAAATACAGCTATGTGAAAGGACTAATGTGAGAAGTGATGTGAAAGGGAAGAGACGCTTGAAGGAAGTGCTTCGCATTAGATCTTTCTCAAATGAATGGAAGAGCATGACTGCAACTGCGGCTGGGGTCTGATATCCATTGTATATGATATTATGCCGCAGCCGTAGTCACAGCAGAAATGCACATAGCTCTGCCTCCAATCGCACCTCAATTAAATGGACCACCGCACAAGCATGCTCAACGCAAACGACGAAGTGCAAATAACGAATGCCCCCTTACTTATTGAGGCATCGACAACAGAAAAAGCACAACATATTTGGTGAAGATGCACAGGAGTTAACAGTAATCACATGCACAAGATGAAGACAGAACAGAGAATTTTCAAAAAGCCTACTGATCTAAAATGGGTGTGAATGTGTTCTTAAACATTTGTGTAATTTTCATCACACATCATGCACTACAATTAAGCAAGCTTTAATGTGTGTGACAAACACAGATATATATATATAAACACACTTTTTTTTTTTTTACTGCAAAGAACCTTTTTTCTGGACTGTTGCACGGGAGCACAAAAGCTGATGCATCAGCATTGCATTTTTTCAGGAGGGTCCCGTATGTTAACAACAGCCTATAGGCAATTATGGCAGTGCAGAGGGAGCTTTCGTTGACAAGAAGTGTACACTGAACTGGGAATATCACTTGGTTACTACTTGAAAGGTAGCACTGACAGCCAAAATCATATGAGCGTTCACAAGGCAAAGTAACATTTGAACTAGTGATACTAAGTATGCACAGGTGATGTTATGGTTATGTGCACTAAGTATGCACATAAGGCTTCAAGAAAGGGCAAAGTTCAGAACAAATGCAAAGATGAGGTACAAGGTTGCTGAACAGGTTACTTGACAATGAAGAGTAAGCGTGCTTTTTAAGAGAATACACAAACTTAAATAATGCAGGAGATAAAATCCATTTGGAGTTATGGATTAAATGAATTAGGGAACGCATATGGATTTAGATATTTAAACGTTCCACTGAATCAATATAGGCACTGAAATTATTAATGCTGTTCAATTAAAACTTAAGTATGTAGACCCAGACACAAAAGATTGAAAACGGTTGGCACACTTTATTTTTTTGCAATAAATCCCTCTGAACTAGCCAAACTTAATGAAGCCCCAAGTTTAATTAGTCCTACGTCGAGGGAATTTCCTGCGAGTTCAATATGAAATTGAGATGAAAGGGGAAAAAAGAGAAAAACGTAACCAATGCCTTAAGCGAGACAGTTATTTGATTTAGCTTTAGAACAGAGACCACTTGCACTGTGAAATGGCACAAGAGTTGAAATCAATCGGTCAACAAACGCATGGTTTAACGTTGACTCAGGTTAACAAAACGAAAATCGCGGATTCGCCGACTACATGAAAAAATAAAAACGGTGAGCGCGTTCACCACGAACACTAACCAAGCGCTCAAATTGAAAGCTTAGCATAGACACCCTGCTTATGGAGTACGAACAAAATTTAACAACCCAGCAATGGCACTGACAATGTGCACTCGCACTGCACACTACATGTTTGCTCAGCATCAATGCGTTAGAGATAAATCGTGAAAAACTCACTCCGGTATGCGCGAAACATCCTGCGAGACGATGGTGTTCGGATCCGTGGCACCGACACGAGCACCACGCGCCTCGCTCTGCTATGCAGGCGCGAACGCTTTTTTGTCTTCCTCTGTTTCTTGAATATGAGCCCGCGTGAACACATGCATATCACGTCGGTAGACGGTCAAGTTGCGCGATGAATGCGCGCTACGTCCGTGTACCACCGTCGATGGGCTCTGCGTTTTAGAGGGCCACACACCAATCCCCGCTATTTTCTACACTCTACTGCAACGCAGACGAGCATAGACGCACATGCCAGCGCTGTTTCAGACAGGCTGGCCACAAAAGATCACTGGAGATAACGCACTAACAGCAGGGCTTCCATCCGGAGCGCGGCAGCAAGACAACTGACATCTGCCGCCACGCAAACGATCACTACATGAAAAATGCACACTCTCGATAGCCACATGCGTATCACTTCAAAGGCAAGCAAGTGATGCCCCGTACCACAATACTACAACTACAAATGTGCAACATGAACGCGAAACATTTGCCTTCAGACAAACGTCTCCTTTACGCGCTCAAAAATAATCTTGAATAAGAAGCACCAGTTCAATTCGAAAACTATGCAAGGTGTAAGTTTACGCACCTTCATTTAATAACAAATGAACCGAATATCTGACCAAGAGAAGCCTGTTTCAAATTTTACTCTTTTTTTCTCTCTCAAATGAGCCTATTTGTAAAAGCAGCTACTTTCCCATCGTGGTATTCCAAAAGCCAATTCAATCACACAAAAAAAAACATAACACTTATACTTAAATAAAAGTATGTGTAATACACTCTGTAAAATTACGTAACATTGTTTATTTTCGGTTTTTTAGAAAATTTCTTTAGTATTTGTTAAAAAATTGAATTGTTAGTCTACTGCGAAATTACAATTGCCCGGTCCTACTGTTTAGAAGCATGGCGGCGTTCATAGCGTGTCGGCTGCGCCCGTGGCTAGGTATGTTGGTGGCTGTGTTTTTGCGGACGGAGGAAATTTCTGCAACGCACTCGTTTTTGTTTCAGCCCCGTCCTTGAGGACCATGGTGCGCGCTCACGTGCCTTGTATGATGCTCACCATGGAGGAAACAGCACAAGTGAGACTACTCTGTCGGAGCTCTCTGTGGAGTAATTTCGTGGAATTTGAATAACATAAGCTCTTTTTATGTCACAGGTACGACATTATGCCACTCAAAGACACCAAAAGTTAATATTAGCTGCACAGAAACGCAACAGGCAAAGGAAACTTGAAAAACCACCCGAGAAAGATAAGCTTGCTTGGATGAAGTCAAGGTAAGTGGTTCACACTCACTCAGGGCCGCTGCTGCGTGGTCCAAACTGATCCGAATCGAGTTAGACGTCAGTGAAATCGCGTTGTGTGAACCAGATCTTGACGCGCAGATTGCGATGAAGTGGCTGTGTATCAGTCCGCGGTCCGGATGAGCCCTGATCGCTATCGGAAATGCGCTTGTGACGCCGGTTTAAAATATTTAAGCTGACAGAGGTTTTGTTTCATCTATGGCTTTGGTAGGCGCAGCGTGAACGTTTGTGGTGTATTGCGCAGGAAGCTCCTCATCGGACCCCGAAGAGAGACTTACGAAGACCGGCTGAAGGAGCCACCGATTGACGACGTTTTCTTCACGGACAAGTACATGCCAAACGTGTATTCCGCTGCGGACGCGATAGCGATGCACAGAGAAACGCATCACCCGACTGTTTTGAATGATCCGGATGCACTTCTTTATGCTTTCGTTGAGCTCAGTCTAAAGACAAAGAAGAAGGTAAGATACGTTCTCCAGCACACGGTATACCATAAATGAAAGCTCAGTGGCTGTGTTAGAGGGACCCGAACAAGCTTGGGCTTTATGCAGCCAATTGTTAGGAAGGTGAGCACTCTGAATAAAATGTAAAAAGTGTGTGTTCTTGTTGGCGCCATCCTCAACTGTTTTAAAGGGTACTAACACACGAAAATTGTCAGTAGTCGTGTGTGTGTTTTGCATCAAATAAAAATGCAGATGTCCTCAATGCAGCAGTAACCTGCCAATCGCTGATGACATTGCTTTGATGAGTAACTCAGGGAACGAATTACAGTTCATAATTACTGAACTGGACATGGAAAGCAGAAAAATAGGTTTGAAAATTAATCTGCATAAAAATAGAGTAATGTGCGATAGTCTCAGCAGAAAACGGCATTTTGCGATAGGTAGTGACTGGTGAGACACTGAAAGTTTTAGAATATGTCTATGTAGGACAGCTAGTAACTGCGAAACCGAACCTTGATAGAGAAGTAACTAGAAGAATGAGGATGGGATAGAAAACATTCCTCAAACACACTCAAGTTATGACTAGTAGATTGCCATTATCCCTCAAGAGGAAGGTATATAACAGCTGCATCTTACCAGTACTTACCTATGAAGCAGAAACCTGGAGGCTTACAAAGAAGGGTCAGGGAACAAACTGGGGTTAAGGATTTCATAGTTGAAATCAAGAAGAAGAAATGGACGTGGGCCGGGCGCATAGTGTGTAGGCAGGATAACTGCTGTTCATTGAGGGTGAGTGACTGGATTCTAGGAGAAGGCAAACCCATAAAAGGGAGACATAAAATTAGATGGGCAGATGAGATTTAGAAATTTTCAGGTAAGACGTGGCAGCAGAAAGCACAAGACCAGGTATTAGTGGAACATGGTTGTGGCCTTTGCCATGTAATGGGCGTAGTTAGGCTTATGATGATGCGGTTTGTTAGACTTAGCGTAATGAAACAGGTTGCCTTTTAAGTGATGCTGTCTAAGACGAGACTGGCTTCCCTGCAACTGTGGCATGCTACTGAAAGTTATTTTGGTTTAATGCAACACAGACTTGGTATGTTCTATGTAACAGAGCACATGACTTGAAGCGTTGCCCCACTGGTATGGCACCTGTGCCGATTTTCTTTTATGTATGGCCTCCCTGAGTGCACTTGCAGCTACAGGCTTGTGTGTTCACTGTGAGAGCTGACCAGCCTGTATAGAGCATGTGACTTTCTCCAAAAATTTAGTCAATTGTTTTGCATTAATATGTCTACTCGCTAAAGCTTTTCATGCAAGTAATATCTGTGTCATCAAATTATTAAGCTCGTAAGTGGTGTAGTATGGCTACGTGGGGCAGGTTTGCGTACGTCTGCATTACTTAAAAAGCAGAAAAAAAAAAGTAAGTTGATGGTATAAATGAAAATAGGCCCCTATCACTGAGCAGTGTGTATCTGTCACTCAAACAAAATGCATGTGCAGATTATGCTCATATAAACATCTAGAGTGCTAATGAAAGCTACTAAAGTAAGCCCCCTAGAAGTAAATAAACTGAACCTGTATCTTTATGCCAACTCTCCAAGATGAATATCAAGCTTTGTCTATTCATTCAAATTTTTTGCTTCAGCAAAGTAAATCTGTAGCTAATAAATATTAATTCCTTTCTAGCAATGATTTTAAACCAACTGAAAGCTAGTGAAAGTTAGTAAAAGTTGTGTTTCCACAGTGGATGTCACTGGAACCCACATTATGACTAAGGACCTTGTCCTCATCAGGACAACAAGGGCATGAAGAGAATTTTCCTTGTCATAATGCTGGCTTCAGTGATACCCCTGTCCAACCACTGTTTGCCACTTTGTTGCCATGTTCCCATTGTCCTTTATTTAATTAAGCCTGTTTTTCAGTGTTTATACTTAGTATGGCTGATTATATGATAATCTGGCTAGTCTTATGATAATGAGCATGTTGCCATTGTTTGTTTCAGTGAAATCAACTGGGGGTGTGGCCTTTAGTATGTGACTTTATGTAGACTTGTCTATTGGCCCATTTTCTTTTGGAATTAAGCCGTAGTAGTCTTCATCATGAGACTTGTGTGTGCTACAACTTATTGAGTTTGCTTGTTTCTTTAGATATGTAGCCTTATATTGTAACAATTCTGCAAAGCCTTCAGTCGCTGATCCTGGCAAGAATGACTGCTCAGCAATGTCTAAGCAAATGAGAAAAGGTGAAAAGAATGAGAAATTAAACTGTTCATAACAGAATATGGACGCTTAAAAAAAATGGATAGACTTTTGTCCATGCTTACGAGTTGAAAAAATGAGTTTAAGCATTAAACTTCCCGTTGTTTAAATTTTCAGTTCAGGTCAAAGGCTGGGTATTTAAGCCAATCTTTCCAAGACATGTTTAGCTTTATGTTAGCGGAAAAGAGCTTGTGTGAGTGAATAAAGGGGTCACATAAGAATACATTGCTGTGATGTCTAGTCTAGCCGAATCGCTCATTGCCCCTTACTGTTCTGCTGTAACATACTAGCAGTCTTAGTGTGTCTCGTCACATTCTTTTGCCCAGAATAGCACTTTGTTTAGGTGACATGTGACTGTTGCCTGAAAAAAAGAATGTTCATCTTACAGAAAGTATGAACATGTTGCTTTACACTATCGCATGATATTTTGGATGCATAGCGACACAGAAATTGATCTGTAAGCTATGTTATTTATTTATTTACAAAATACTACAGACCCATTTAAGGGCCCCAGCAGGAGGGGCAGCGATCATAACATTGCACACAGGTGTAAAACAGCAAAAACAAAAAAAGATACATCATATACAAAAGATACAAAAACATAGGTCATGGTTAAATATGCTCAAGTGCCCCTATAGAGCTGGTTAACAATTGAGGTAGGCAGTTCCAGTCGTTTATGGTTCGAGGAAAGAACGAGTATTTGAAAATGTTTGTTCTGGCGAAATACGGTGTTAATGAATGAGTTTGTCGATGCCGGGTTTGTCTTGTCGTAAGCGGTTTCAGATACAAATCACGATTTACTGACAGCTTGTTGTTACTTAAAAGAAAAAGAAATTTGAGCCTGTGAATTTTACGACGTTTTTCAAGTGTGGGTATACTGTTTTCTTTCATTAGGTTTGTGGAAGAATCAGTTCTTCGGTACTTGGAGTAAATAAAACGTACCGCTTTGCGTTAGATTAGTTCGAGAGCCTCAATGTTTCTTTTTGTGTATGGGTCCCAGACGATTGAGGCATATTCCAATGAAGGGCGTATAACAGTCAAATAAGTTAGTTTTTTTACAGTAGAAGGTGCATGCTTTAGTTTGTGTCTCAAAAGACCAAGTTTACGGAAAGAGGATGCGCAAATATTAGAGATGTGCTTATTCCAGCTGAGGTCGTTTGTTAGAGTGACACCAAGGTACTTATACTCAACAACCTCTGTTTTGGCTTTTAATTTTTAGGTGGTCTGCTAGGTTTGGTGGACTTCCACAGTAATTATATGTAGTGGCTTCAATGCAGAGAAATTGCACTGGGGAATGTTTGTGAAATGTCGCTAATGTGGTAATCTGCTCAAATATATGTGAAGTAACGGCTATACTGACAAGCAGTAATGTAGCAAAAATGTTATGGCAGTACTTTTCTTTTGCAGATTTTTTATAGAATTCAGTGAGCGTTTTTTTTTTGGTATGTGTGTCTTAAGACTGACTGTCTTTTATGATATATGTTTGTTTTCATCAATGCAGACCAAGTTTAGAGAAGATTTTTCGGGGACTGTGCTCTATAATCATCCATTCTCTATCACCAAGAGAGAGAAGAGAATTATTGCCCTCTGCAAGGTATGCTATAGCTGATTGAGAAATTGGATGCTGTATTTAGACATTGCAATTCCTGTTTTGCAGAACACTGATTTGGCAACTGAGGCCCTTGCAGCAGGGGCAGAAGTGGCAGGTGGCACAGCCGTCATCAAAAGGGTAAGATCAACTGAACTTCTTGGAATCAATTAGAATATTGATTGTCCCTGAAAGGTAAAAACTCACTTGCTGTTGTATTTAATAGCAAAAGATAAGTGACCCAAATAATTTTTCAATGAGGCAGAATACGTAAGGCGAATGTGGTCACATGTAGATCTGTTTAGTTCCTGATGATGCTTTGTTTCACTGACCAGAAATCAAAACATTCCTTGAACTGAACTTATATGCAGATACTTACCGGAGAACTGGATGCAAAACTTTTCGACTATATTTTGGCACATGTGGACATTGTGCAAGATCTGCCTCAGTTGAGAGGCTTACTAAAAACAAAGTTACCAACGCTAACAAATGGTAAGTGTTTGGAAAGTGCCATGAAGCATGCCGCTGGCAAAATATATTGTGCTGCTTCGCATAGTTCATGTATGAAATAATATCAGAATAGTTTAACCTGTGGTCCAGTCAAATGAAAAGTAAAAAAAGTTTGTATGTAGATTCTTTTGGTGCACAACCGCCTGACAGCAGGTGCAACATGCTTCTTAACACAAATATATGCAGTCATAAGTTTTGCTCTCACTAAAGCTTGCCAATACAAGTACAAATAGGTGTGGGCTTTATCTGTGGTGTAAGCATGTCTTCTTTTAGTGCACCCACAGTGGTATCATTTTTGGAGATCTTGCTCCATGACTTGGTAAGAAGTGAAGGGTTTAACTGAGCTTATATAAATGAGAATAGAGAAAGTAAAGGACAGTATGTGCTGTCGTTTACGTTTTCGGTAATTGTTTGTATTAGCAAAGTTAAACCTTTCAAGATTGAACTACTAGCCTAACTTGGTGCTCTTCTGGTAAGAGGTGCCAGCTGTTGTCAACTGGTTTGTTATAATTAGTCTCTTAGCTCAATAGAATGATATTGCTATGACAATTACTACTATGGTAAACAAAAATTTAATTTTTATTTAAATATAACCCTTGGTAAATGATCAATAAGTGTTAATTTTGATGCATCTGAATGTACTTAAAAAAGAAGCCAAATAATATTTAATTTATTTTGACTTGTGTTTGAATAAAACCATTTGTAAAACCTGTAAATTCACGTGATTTTGTGTTAAGTTGTGTTTTCTGCTATTATTTTTGATGTCAGATTGTACATTAGAGCCAATGCTTCATCAGGCATTCCAGCCTTCAGTTCGCTGTTGCACCCATTTTATTAAGTTTTAATTAACTCTCTTACCAACTGGCTAATTCTAGCTACGGTTGTAGTGTGGCTTCATGTAAGCCTGTGGTGAAAGACTGTAGGAAAGTAAAATCATGCAAACTACCAAGAAATACAACCCCAGGCCCTGTTTAAATACTGCACCTTATGCAATCCAGTAAGTCATTTACTGCAAAAAAGAAAAAAGTTATGATAAAAGTAATCTTATCCTGTGCACATTCAATAATGAAGGCCAGCATTTCAAGGCATTCAGTCACAACTGGGGGTCTTCATTTTGTTGGCGTGAGTACTATTCTTATTAAGTGCGCACTGATTAGCTGAAATGGTAAATCTTACTTCTTGGTTGCAATAAAAGCTACCAGAGGCATTGAAAACTATCATAACCAAACCACATCTTCTGGCAGTTTCTAAAGCGTAGAGTATTGGAAAAGATACCTTGTTGTTGATTGCTAAGATTGTGCTGTTTGAAATGCTCTCACAATGTGATGACCATATATTGTATATATGAACCTGTCTGTATTTACTAATAGTGTCCACTTTTAATGCTTTTATCATTTTACCTTTATAGCCAAGTCTCACTAACATTTTGCGTGGATTTAGCCTCATTTATGTTTATTTTTCACTTTTGTTTTGAAGGAAAAGTCACTAATAACCTGCCTGGCTTGGTGCAAGACTACTTCAATGGTGTTGATTTCGCTTCCAAGAGTGATCAGCAAGAGCTTGACTATGGTTTTGTTGAAGTCCCTGTTGGAAAAGTAAGCAGTATGGGTGTGGGAATATCTAAAATTTCAAATATGAATGGTACAATTGTTGTGATTTGATTTGTATGTCAAATTTAATACCTCCACTCAAATTTCATCAGTCTTTCCATTATGGGTGTTTCGGTCTAACATAACAGAGTGACTGTCTTTTTTGCACTCCCAGTGCACTTGTTTTTGGTACTTCCCACTGAAGTTGAATTATGAATATTTTAATTTATGTGCAATTTTCTTAAATTGAAAAGTGGGAACGACCATGAATCGTGACGGCTTACCAGTTTGCTTTGTTAACAAATGCCATCAGCTCATAACAAAAAATGAATGAAACATTTTTTGTTAACCACTCAAAATAAAGTAACTTTATCAGTGGTAGAGCACTATTTTCATCTCGCCCTAAAGCTCATCTGAAAAGATTGCAGGTGCCTTACAATCGAAGCATTTTGATGAACAATAAACTACTTTTTTTATTTCATTACTTAAAAGTAATACAGTCTCTGTGAAGTAAAACCGTGTATTGGCAATGACATAGGAATGCTCAAAGCTATTCAAATTTGGCATCGAAAACCATGCCACCTGATGGATGTGACTTTGTTGACATGCTCTTTTCCATAATTCTTTCAGCGTGTACATATTTTTTTGTAATAAATATGACCAGATCAGTTATATTGATTTTTATTTGTATTAAATTTAAATTTTTCCATCAGGGATGTTTTTGTCGAGTAGTCGATGGTATGTTTTGAGCACTTTCGATGCATGGTTTTAAACAAAAATGTGTTTACCCACGATCAGTTTTTTGGGGTGGGGTCCAAACTTGATGTACTTTTTCTGAAAAACTATTCAACCGATTGCAATGAAGTTTTCTCAAATTATCTTTGAATCACTTCCAAATAGTCTCAACTTAATGCTTTAAGAAAGTCTACAAGGTATATATAATGAAGAAAAAAAGATTAAGTGAAAAGTCACTCGCCTGAAGATTGGGGGCATTATTTTTGTCTTGCCGCATAAATGTAGAGACCTGTTCTTTAGCTGCCCCGCCGCAGTGGTCTAGTAACTAAGGTACTCGGCTGCACGTCGCGGGATCGAATTCCGGCTGCGGCGGCTGCATTTCCGATGGAGGCAGAAATGCTGTAGGCCCATGTACTTTGATTTGGGTGCACGTTAAAGAACCCCAGGTGGTCGAAATATCTGGAGCATTCCACTACGACGTTTCTCATAATCATATGGTGATTTTGGGACGTTAAACCCAACCCGTTATCAATCAATCTGTTATTTATCTAAGGATCAACTGTTACTACTATGTGTAATCAGCATGCCAATGTTGACGGTCTTCCTGTTTTTTGTTTTTAAGAAAAGGTACATTAAAATATACACCCCAGCCTAAAATTTAGGACTCAAATATAAAAAGTAATATAGGCCACAGGGTTGAAAAAAAATTGAAGAATACAAGCTTTCTCATTGAACACATGCAACTTTATGTGTTTACTCTACCATACTCCCTTCATCAAGGGGCACATTGAAGAGCTCAGGTGGGCATGAGGCTGCCAAATGAGAAGCATTTTGAGTCATTGCATATTAATCAGTTTGTGGTTATCACCGCAGGGGCGTCTGTGTAAATAGGCATTTGGTGCGTAGCGACACCACGGACCCTAGCTAACGGGAGTTTCGACTCCCTCCCATGCCTAGCCGTGCGTGGCTTTGCCGTGTCTGGGGAAAAGGGAATCCTGGGGGTTGAGCTGACGCCGGGTGATTGGAACTTTAAGGCAGAGGCAACACACAGCTTTGGAGGCAGAGGCAACACACACCTTTGGCCCTGGCTTCACGTAGATGGCACCCCTGGACTGACCCACCCACGGGAAATCAGCAGTCGCCTTTTCCTGTCTCTCTCTTTCCTCACCTTCGTCTTTTTCTCACACTTTTTATCTGTCCTGTCATCTTCTTTCTTCCATTTACTTCCAACTTTCCTGGCGGCGAGGGTTAACCTTGTGTAGGTATCCAACCTTGGATAAATACATTGGGTTATAGCGGCGATGCATGGCTGGTGTCTCCAAGTGTTTCTGAATTAACCTTGCAGCGTCCCCTTGTTGGGCTCGGTGGGGGTAACCACTACGCCCCCGAAATAAATACTCTCCGTATGGCGAATGCTTTTCCCCCCTTTCCTGATCGCTCCCTCAAAAGGTGGCGCACTGAAGAAGCAATCACCCTAACCAAACCAAAGCAGAGCTTCCCAAAGTATCATGTCATTCATAGTCAAAACGAAAGAAAAAAAGTCCGAGTGATTTCACCGTTCTTAGTGCCAAAAACTCTTACGGAACAAATTGGCCCAGGGTACAAAATCACAAAGATGGGAAGTGGCGACGTCCTATTGGAGGTTCGAGACAAAACACAATACGACAAACTATCCAGAATTGTATCATTTGGGGACACTCCTGTTTCAGTGGGCCCACACAGGTCTATGAACACTGTCCATGGAGTAATTTCTGATGATGACCTTATTGATCTGAGCGAAAGCCAAATGTTAGAAGGATGGCAAAATGAAAACGTTGTGAAGGTACAGAGAATAATGATCAGGCGTGACAAGAAACAGGCCCCTACAAAACACCCAATAATCACTTTTGGAACAAGCGGCCTACCAGAATCAATAGAAACTGGCTATTGCAAGTTACGTGTAAGACCCTACATCCCCAATCCTCGTCGATGTTTCAAGTGTCAATGTTTCGGGCATGGATCGCAGAGCTGCAAAGGGTGCGCCACATGCGCCAAGTGTGCATCCATGCGACACATATCCGACGACTGCACCTCAGAAGCAACTCATTGTTCGAACTGCGAAGGATATCACCCTTCCTATTCACGATCATGCCCCACATGGAAAAAAGAAAAACAAATAGTAGAACTCAAGGTCCAGTTCATTCTGTCATTCCAAGAGGCACGTAAGCGTTTCGCACTTCACAACCCCTCTTATCCCTCCTACGCAGATGTGACGTGCCGGGGCGCTGCACCACACCCTTCTGCACCCGCGATCGTCACATAGAGGGTTGCCGCGGTCGTGCCATCAGCGCCCCCGGCTGGAGCAGCCTGTACTGCCCCGCCACCTGACAAACAGGGCCGGCAAACCCCCGTGCCTGCTGAACCTCAAACCACTGCAAGCGCAGTTAGGTCCGAAAGTTCTGTGATCATGCCTGCCGAGCAGGCATCATCCACCACCTCACAAGAGGTGATAAATACAAGTCCCACTCCTCCAGCGCCTCAGACACCGAAGAATAAACGCAACTTCTTGGAGCGTGCCAAAAACGAAAAACCTCGAATCACAGGGCCCCCAAAAGGCCCTGTAACCTAACGCAACACTTTTGTACACACAGCACCACACAACATTAAAATGACACAAATACTACAGTGGAACGTCAAAGGACTGCTGAGAAACCTCGACGATATTCAGGAACTTTTACCCAGACATACAGCTAAGGTGCTGTGCGTACAAGAGACACACCTGAAACCTAAACGCACCAGCTTTTTGCGTCATTACGTTATATTTCGGAAGGATCAGAATGATGCCATTGTGCCATCCGGTGGTGTTGCCATTATAGTCAATCAAGGGATTGCATGCACACACCTACCACTACAAACATCCCTTGAGGCGGTGGCTGTTCGAGCAGTTCTTTTGAATAAGCTCGTCACCATCTGCTCTCTCTACATACCTCCACAACACCGTCTTGAAAAGCATGAATTCGAGTCCCTCATAGGCGAACTTCCGGAACCTTATATTCTCCTTGGATTTTCAATGATTTCAAGCAATCTATGGGGTGACTCTCGCTGCGACGCTCGAGGTCGCCTGATTGAACAGTTCCTTTTTTCTTTCAGTACGTGCCTGCTGAATCGAAAAGAGCCAACATATTACAACATCGCTAACAATACGTACTCAACAATAGACCTCAGCATAACATCCTCATGACTCCTGCCTCTACTTAAATGGGAAGTCGTTAATAATCCATAGGGTAGTGACCATTTTCCTATCGTTATCAGCACATCAATAACCAATACATGTTCTGCACAAGTTCCCAAATGGCTCACCAACAAAGCCGATTGGGAAAAGTTTCAAAAAATGACTCTATTACCTTGGACTGACATGGTGGTGTTGAGCATAAAGGATGCTGTGTGCTACTTTACAGCTTTCTTGGTTGATGTAGCAACAAAATGTATTCCCCAAACATGTGGACCGTCAAGCAAACGACGAGTCCCATGGTGGAATAATGAGTGCTGTGATGCTCGAAAAAAACAAAATAAGGCATGGAAGTTGCTTAGAGACTCGCCCACAGCCGAGAATCTTGTAAGCTTTAAGACAAGCAAGGAGGACGCACCGACAGGTGAGAAGGGAAAGTTGGCATAAATTTTTATGAAACATTAACTAATACACAGATGAGTCGAGAGTCCGGAACATGGTTGGTAAGGTGGCAGGACGAAAAGCACATTCACTTCCTCTAGTGAACACACAAGGGAAGAGCTTGGAAGACCAGGCAAACACTCTTGGAGCGCACTTCGAACAGGTCTCCAGCTCATCACACTATAGTGAAGTGTTCCAAAGATACAAAACCACAATAGAAAAACAGAGATTAGAGTGCAAACCCACAACACATGAGGCATACAATGAACCTTTCTGTTTGGCTGAACTACAAGCCTCACTTACCTGCTGCAATAAATCTACCCAAGGCCCGTACCGTGTGGCATATGAAATGTTAAAACACCTGCCCACTTAAACCCAAAAAGCTCTCCTCTCCTTGTATAATGCGATATGGTCTTTCGGCGAGCTACCCTCAGCCTGGAAGGAAGCTATCGTTATCGGCCTCAGTTTCCAGCTACAGGCCAATAGCCTTACCCAGCTGTCTTTGCAAGGTCTTCGAAAAAATGATTAACAGGCACCTGATGCACTTCCTTGAAATTAATGGCCTACTTGACCCATACCAGTGTGGGTTTCGAGAGGCTTGGTCCACCACTGACCACCTTGTCCGTATCGAGGCACAAATTCGCGACGCTTTTGTTCATAAGCAATTTTTTCTTTCTGTGTTCCTCGATATGGAAAAGGCATATGACACTACATGGCGCTTTGGCATACTGCAAGACCTGTCACATTTAGGTGTGGGGGGTAGAATGCTGTCAATCATCGAAAGCTACTTGTCCAACCGAACATTCTGTGTCAGAGTTGGCACTGTCTTATCTCGAATGTTTGTTCAAGAAACAGGAGTGCCACAAGGAGGTGTATTGAGCTGCACACTTTTCATAGTTAAAATGAATTCCTTGCACCTGTCTCTCCCACGTAATATTTTTTATTGCATATATGTCGATGATGTCTGCACGAAAAAAGAAAAAAACATGAAGTCTGCACTTCATGTTTTTTTGGTGAACTGATGTCTAAAATGCCAGCTTTGAACTTATTTTCGGTGTTTTTTATTGTGTGTAGAATAATGTGTGCTTTCTGTGTGTTTATACTTAAGTACACTGCTTTCTGTATGCCATCACTGCATGCTGAACTCTAATCGGCTGGGAAGCCTAGTCAAGCTCGCAACAGCTTTTTCTTCCCATGCCCTCTACTTCCTGATGTGGAAAATAAATGATTGATTGATTGATTGATTGATTGATGTACAGATTGGTTTCAAATCGTGCAACATCTCAGTGTGCCAACGTCAGGTTCAACTCGGGTTGAACAAGGTATCTCAATGGGCAGATGAGAATGGTTTTATACTCAACGTGCAAAAGAGCACTTGTGTCTTGTTCAGCCGAAAAAGAGGCCTCCATCCTGACCCCGACATTGACCTGCATGGTCAACATCTGTCAGTGAAGACCGAGTACAAGTTTCTTGGTCTCATATTAGACACTAAACTAACCTTCATCCCACCCATCAAGTACTTAAAAGACAGGTGCTTAAAAACAATGAACATTTTGAAAGTGTTGTCACGCACTACATGGGGTAGTAACACGAAATGTATAATGAATTTATATAAAAGCCTCGTATGCACACGCCTAGATTACGGTGCTATAATCTATCTGTTGGCAACACCATCAGCCTTGAAGATTCTCGACCCTGTCCACCATCTAGGCATTCGCCTCTCTACGGGTTTTTTTCGAATTAGCCCTGTGGAGAGCCTGTACGTGGATTCCAATTAATGGTCGCTCCACCTACAAAGATGTTTCCTGTCTTTTTGTACTTTTTGAAGGTGAAGGCAGACAAGAAACACCCTTCCCATTTCACAATTAATGATTTGTCCTGTTTTGGCTTGTTCGAGTACCGTCCTTCGTTTAGGCAGCCCTACGCACTCCGTGTAAGGGGCCTGGCCGAAGAAACAGGTGTGCCTCTTCTTGAACACAGTTTGATGGTGCCTGCAACATATCTGCCACCGTGGCAGCGGCAGTTTATAGACTGTGATGTCTCTTTTGTTGAAGTCACAAAGCACGCACCACTTGCACACATACATACATACTTCCTAGAACTACAACATAAATACACATGCCCTGAGTTCTTTACCGATGCGTCGAAGTCCAACACTTCTGTGTCATATGCAGCGGTAGGCCAATCCTTTTCCGAGGCTGGCGTTCTTCATCCTGATGCAAGCATTTTCACAGGAGAAGCTTACGCAATACTGGCAGTCGTAAAACACATCAGGCAGATAAAATTACAAAAGGCGGTAATATACACAGATATCCTAAGCGTGGTCAATGCCCTGAAAACTTCTAAAAAAACACAAGAACCCCGTGCTGGTGTCACTTTCTTCGATTCTATGCACACTGTACACATCAAAACAGCATGTCGTTGTCTGCTGGGTTCCAGGGCACCGTGAGATATAAGGGAACGTTTTGGCCGACAAGCTGGCTGCTTCCCCCAACGACACTACTTCCAATGCATCAATACCAATCCCTGCACTTGACTTAAAACCTTTTCTAAAACGAAAGCTCAGGGGGTATTCGCAGAGCACATGGGATAAACACACAGATAATAAACTTCATGCTATTAAGCTGCAACTAGGTTATTGGCCGCCGCTATCAAAATCACGACACACAGAAGTAACACTAACAAGGCTTAGAGCAGGACATACACACTTTACACATTCATTTCTTCTATCTGCCGGCAATCCACCATATTGTGAGAGATGTGGAGAACCACTTACGGCTCTCCACATTCTCGTCCAGTGCAATGAGCTAGATGCTCTAAGAAAAAAGCACTTTTTACTGCCCTACCGGCAGCAGCTCCCACTACACCCTGGGATGCTTATCGGCAGGGATCCGCTTTTTAAACTGCAATCACTTTTCACGTTTTTAAAAGATGAAAGATGTTCATAGCTTTCACCTCATATTTCGAGGTTCTCCGTAGTACGACCTCTGTACCGTGGTCGTGGCTGCGGTGACTACATCTCTATCATGGTTTTATTATTATGTCATTTTGCCATTCACTTCCAGTACACATATCTCGCGTCATTGTCATGATTTTTTTACTTTCATGTTTTTACCCACGTTAGCGCGAGGACTTTTAAGGGCCCTTTACAGCCACGCATCATATCATTGTTCACATATCTAGTCTTTCGAAATGGCGCCTTTGCGCCATTAAAAAACCACTCATCATCATCATCAGTTCGTGGTTATGGTGAATCCAAAAAGAGAAAGAAATGCTATGGTGTTACGCTGAAATAAAAGAAAAACCTTGCAAAAAGTGATATGTCTGACAATGTGTTTTTGTAACAAAGCAAATTTTCATTTATTAGTTTTAAGCAATAGGCTGAAATGCAGTAAGAATGTTGATCAGATAAGGATATGATATTGTGAACATAGCAACACATTTGTCATTTTTTATGCTAACAGTTTAAAGAGTCTGTAAATATGTGGTTCTCTGTCTTGATTTTTTTCAATCAGCTCAGCATGCCAACTGAACATCTTGTTGACAATATCAAAACTCTCCTTGTTTGTATTGATGAATTCAAGCCAAAAACAACTGATCCAGGTAATAATCTTGTCTTTCAACACTCTCCGATGCATGAGCCTTTCCAACATGTGTGTTTGTATGACAGTGCATTAGTAGACTGGGGTAGAAAGAGAGGAAGACTACAGCTTAAGGGATCGTGCACATGCACACATATAGTATATATACATCTCTTGAGAGAATATGCAGGTGAAACAGATTTAAAAAGGATAATATGTTTGCTTATATTTTGGCCATAACGTTAGTAATAAAATTATCCAGTTCATATTTCTCTATACATGTTTGTGTTTTTGAGTAGAGCAGTTTGTTGTTAATTCATTGGGACCTTGTTGAAAGAGAGCATTAATGCAGAAGTGCTCAAACTTGCTAAAAGTGGGTCTTTTTTCAATGTCTGTCCAAGCTTAAGTGATAACACTGTGTGGCAACGGTATGGTCACACGGCAGCAGCCATACACCCTTTCCCATCTTTTCGGTGAAATCTTATTGCGTTGTGTGTGGTAAACAGAAGTAGTGCAATGGTGCGTGACCGAGCCATAGTGGCTGCACAATCGCAGAAACAAAGTTGGTTGTTGCTTGTCCTTCAGGGATGCACTACTCGCTGCTTCTCTGTGTTGATTTTAGCAGAGCTCGCGTCCCGCACACCAAGTGTTTTCAAGAAATTCACTTTTTTTTTTAAACTCTAGTAACCATTTAGTGAGGCATCACCGAGAGTACACCAGCCGGGAGCAAGCATTAGGAATCCAGCACACATCATGTCCCACATTTCTAGGCACGGAATCTTAGTTTTCTAGAATAGGGATGCATGTTGCTTGTTTTGTAGTTATTTACATGTTGCGAGATAGCTGTGGCAAAATCTAGGTCACACATGTGGATGCATATAGATGTGCTAAGCACTATACAGACGAGTGTTTAAGAAATTGAGCGTTAAAATTTTTGGAAAATAAGGAGTGTGTGTGTATGCATGCATATGCATGTGTTTATTTATTTTTTATTTGGATTCTCAAATTTTTCTGGAAGCACCAACAACCTGACTTAATGAGTGAGGTTTGGGAGCAGACTAGTTGATATTCCCATCAACAGAGTAGGGGTGCTGTAGCAGAGCGACACCTTTTCCAATGCCAGTGCTGTTTGTTCTTTCTGTGCTTGCTCATTGGCCAGCCACACGATGAGCAAGTGTGAGAAGCATAGCATCAAAAAAGGCATCACTCTGCAATAGCAACAAGAGAGGGAACACTTCACGTCGGTCCCTTGTCCCTTTGTTGCTGCGACGTTCTAACGTGGAAAACCTTTGCAGAAGCTCCTTTTAGTTGACTCCTTTTAGTTGGCTCTTAGTTTCGACACAAAGCTTTATGCTGTCGCATTCCAAAAAAAACAGGCAGTGTTTGGTATTGTAGAATAGTAATTGCGTGGTGTTAGGCTCTACAAATATGTTTACTCACTATGTTTCATATCAGAGAGAGAATTTTAACTCTTAAATGCACACCAAATATGAATGTTAGGATGTGTCCGTGAATTGTGCTTCACAAATGATAAAAAGCTTGTTTTGTTTTTTTTGGTGAAGTTGAACTGAAGAAACATAAGGATGAAATCTAGGTCATGCTGAAATTCAACAAACTGGTTCACCAAGATGTCTTCAAACTTAAACCAAAGGCTAGTGTGGCGTCGAAATGGCCACAATACAAGAGACAGAATTTTATTTTGTGACACTGCATTTATGCAACAGTTCTGAAGTTTAAACAGATGTCCACTATAGCAATTAAGCAATGAATTCTTCAGTTAATATTTGCAATTCTTGTTCCACAATTTATATAATTTTTAATAAGATATTTCCACTGTTAACTTCTTCCGAGCATGTTGCACAAGAGTTTCTAAATTAGGACTGCTGCTTTTACAGCTTTTCGTGTGCCTAAGGATATCCATGTTTTTTACCTGTATTGTATGTGAAAAATTGTACACAAGTGACCATAGTGTATCTTTGGCCTTTAAAAAAACAAAAAAAAAACACTTTCACTGAAGCGCGGAGTGCCCAAGTCTCCCCTTTCAAACAACGTGAAGAGTGCAGGTTTTGTGGTAGTAGACAAGAATTGCAAAAGCTACTAAAATTTCCTAATAAATAATAAAGGGGTGGTGGCGACTATTACAGAGTGTCCATCTTGCATAAGTGGAACATTCGAAAACCTGTCCCTGCACGCTCACTCATCTGCTGTTATTTGTCATTGCTTTTGTACGATAAAAAAACGCTAGCCATCATTCATAGCCATATTTGTAAGTCGCTTTCTTATGTCTGGACCCTTTGTTCTATTTCTGCTCGAGTCGTGAACCAGCCATGTCAGATGCATACATTCGTGAAATGAATCGGACATTTATGTTGCATATCTTTAGTGGTCATCGCGTGAGATAGTTTTCAGTACAAGTTAGTAGTTCTGCAAACAGATAAATGCAGGGTGTGTGAGTTATTTCAGGATATAGCTTCTAGTCAGTCATCATTTTTATTATCTAGCACTTCATTTTCCCTAACTTCATCTTCACTGAATCCTGTAGCACGTGTAGCAGCTTCTGTCTTGACACAGAAGATAGAGCCAGATATTTACCTCATACACTGACCAGAGCAACTTCAGTTGTGACAAAGGTTCATGGCCAATTAATTATTATTTATGACTAAAGGAAACAAGTGCTACCAGCAGCTGTTTTTCACGTAGTTGAGTTCTTCCAGCATGTTGAAGCCATTGCGAGTATGTGCCCATGATCCCCCCCTGATGCTGCTTAACTTACCAGTCCTAATTAAGCCTGCAGCTTGCATTAGACATGTACAGTACTGGAATGAACCTTGCACATATGAACTTCTAAAATTTTAATCACAACAATAGCATATTTATTTTGTGTACCCCCTGAATGCACGGTAAACCCGGCCTGATTAGCCCCTCTAGAATAGTTAGAAATGTAAGCCTCCCATTTAGAACATTGTTTTCATGCTTTGTGAGTGCACTTTGGCAATCATTGTTTAGTTTTTCTGTGAATACACCTTAGCATACAACTGTAAGAGCATTATGAGCTGTAGGATCAGCTACAAGAATACGGCTGGCTTTGTAGTTTGCATGATCTATAGGCACTGTCATGGCTGAGTGGATACAATAAACAGCATCTTCTGCATCAAGTACACTCAAACCTCATTGTAACAAAGTTGCATCTTACACAAAAATAAGTTTATATCCGAAAATTTGTTATAATGGTATATTTCTAACACTGTATGCATTGCAAGACTATTTTTCATTTATTTCATTATAACTAGTAATTTGTTATATCTGTGTTTGTTATATTGAGGTTTGAGTGTGTTAATTACTTTATGTGTTTTCCTGTATATGTAACCTTATTAGAAAGCATTGTCCAAATAGTGACTAAAGTTCTGAACCTCATTTATTTTAGGTACATTCATCACAAAGGTTGAACTGAAGTGTCCTCCAACTACTGAGAAGTTCGTTGTTGCATGCAGCGAATTTTTGGATCATTATGCAGAGGAAGAAGAAGATGTCGAAGTCCAAGTGGAGCAATAGACACATCAATCTCAAGCAAGACATCACCTATTGTAGCAATATATCATAAAAGATATTAATACAAGACATTTACAGCGGTTAATTTTTGCTGAATTCAGAAGAAGCAGTTTTATAGAATTCCATAGTGAAGCAATTCTTTAATGTTAAAAGATTCAAGTTATGCCAGTAAACCAGTACACGTGTATTTGTTATGCCAAATGGATTATCCATATAATCACAACAAAATCATTTGTCACTTGAACCAGACAATATTTTTCATACTGAATATTGAGGCCAGATTCAAGGTCGTTGTCTAGAAAATAGTTATTGATGCTTTTTTTTACTAGTTTAAGTAATACTCTTTGAGAACTAATGAACTAAATTTAATTGTGAATCTGAAATTTCCATCACAACACTTCTATTAGCACAGCCTGTAGCCAGCAAAGGATGCAAATGACTTTTGCCAACTGCCAGGTCAAGTCTAATTCAATACCGAAATGTTGATGTTGAGATGCTTTCAAAATATCTCTCCACCTTCTAGTAACAATCTCGCTCAAGCTCTCATCAATGCCAGGTCAAACCAAGGTCAAGTCCTCAAATTAAATTTTAGCAAAGTTAGTCTTGTATGAAATGTTAAATTTAGTTTCCTGTGCCTAAAGTAGGTAAAAATGTTTCACAATTCTGATAAGCGAGGCTCAAAGAAGATACAGCAAGTCTTATGCAACACTGAATGACAGAGTGTAGTAGTAGGTCTTGGCTATGAAATATACTGTCATTGAGCTTAATTTCTTTGGTAAAAGCTTACCCATTGGTCCAGGAATAGCATATTGTACCCAAATAAAGCTTTGGCTTCATGAAATAAGCTAATAGTACATACTGATAAAAAATTATTCACTGCACTTTTGAATTTCTAGCATGTTCCAGTCTTGCTGCAGTATTACTCGGCGAGGTTATGTTGAGGCGAGGCGAGGGAAGAACCTCTTAAGGTCCCATTTTATAAGTTGTTACTCTTGAATGCTACTTGTCCAACCTTTCATTGTACATTAGAGTTCCATCAATTCTGCTCTTGCGACTTTTGCCAGCATCAATACACAATTATGGGTCACTTAATCTGGAAGTTTGCTCTTGCTGTTCATTTAATTAAACTTGGCTAGTCGGAACATGCATGTTTATTGATCCAAAAAGTGACCCCAATCATAATCTACTTTAATGGCAACAGTATTTCTGAGAAAGCATCGAGACACATCATCTGTCATTGAAAACACCAATTCTTAGCTAGCCAATTGCTGATTTTGACGCAAGAACAACAGCACAATTAATTGTGGTGGGCAAGAGGCATCATTTTGTTGCTTCCTGCCCACCGCATTGTTTTTCTCTGGGGGAAATTGGTCTTAAAATTGCCTGCTCTATTCATTAAGGTATAAAATCAGAATGGCAGTCATAGAATCGGCAGCAGCCTACCACTGAGCCATCACAAGATCAAGAGCCATCACAAGTTTACAGACGTAGCAACAACACATTGCTTTCTGTCTCACTTATTGGTCCTTTGTACTTGCAAGCCCCAGAACACCAACTGCACTAAGTAACCATAAGTAACCACAAAACACGAACCTGTCTACAAGTGTAGTGAACCGGTTCAAAAACTAAGGAATATTGAATGCAATGAATCTAAAGGAGACCAACATGTTGTGGTGGTAAAACAGCAATACAAAGCTGCAAGTGCAAATAAATATCATTCTGTGAAGGTTACCTCAACAGGATTCGTGTTAATATTCAACTTTATTGTATTATTTATCTATTTAATACCCACAGCGCCCATACAGGCATTCTAGTGGGGGGGGGGGGGGTACAAGGAAAGAACATGAAAATTTGCAGGTTTACATAAGTTTGTGTAAAAAAAGAAAAAAGACGTGCATCTCCAAGACACAAAATACACACAGCTGCACCGATCACAGCTGCGTCAGAAAAGTAATATGTATTAGAGAAAAAATGCTGAAATAACAAAAATTGATGAAAATTCCACGATAATCAAAACAAAGTGCAGCATTCGGCTAGCACAAGGGCAAATTAACCCCAAAACAACATAGTTTACAATCAAGATACCGTACAGATCATGGCGACTGCCAGGCGCACACATGTAGTCTATAGGGCTTAGCGGGCGAAATGTTCAATCATTTTTATTGCAGAAAAGAACGCATCCGTTCAACAAATTTCTACAACTCTGGAAGGAAGTCGATTCCACCGACTTATAGTTCTCGGAAAAAAAAAAAAAAGAGTTGCTGAAAGTTGATGTATTGCATTTATATTCTCGTATCTTGTGTTCATGATCATTTCAGGCTGAAATGTAGTGAGGCCGGCTTATGTATACATCAGGGGCAATTCGAGTATGAGAATAACATATGCAATGCAATAGCTTCAGTTGAAATGATTCCCTTCAGTGCTGCAGCGACTTCCATTTTAACTTCAGCTTAGCCTCCTTCACACTGAATTGTCTGTCATACATAGGTGCATTAAACACATATCTTGCCGCCATGGACTGAACATTTTCTATCTTTCTTTATTTGAAGATGTTGTAGGGTCCCACACACAACATGCGCACTCCAGTACAGATCTCACGCATGCCTTGTATAGTACCTTCCGGGTTCGCTGTGGAAAAGCACGTGTGTTTCTTTTTAAGAATCCTTAACTCTGGCAAGCTTTACTTGCAGTGTAATCCACATGCCGATTCCATGATGAGAGGGGCAGAAGAAAACACCTAGGTATTTGTATTCGCACACCATTTTTACCGGAGAGCCGTTTATTGTGTATTCAAATTCACCTGTTTTTTCTTTTTTTTTTCTGGAAAACCTCATGCATACAGTTTTCTTAAATTCAGTTTCATTTCCCATCGCTGGCACCACGCGTATATTGCACATAGGTCGTTTTGGATTACGGAGCAGTCAGTTTCAGAGGTAATCCGACGGCATAAAATGCAGCTGTCTGCAAATAACCTAATATGGGATTGTACGTTTTCATTAATGTCATTTATATATATAATAAAAAAAGTAATGGTCCCAGAACTGATCCCCGAGGTACACCTGACGTTACACTAGTCATAGAGTGAAATATAGCGGCCATTTGATGTGGCAGCTCTTGTTTACAACAGTGAAAACATATTTACTGGGTGCTAGATAAGACGTGGATGTGCACTACTTTTGTACAAGTATTGAAAAATGAAATGGTGATGTGTCAAGGCAGTTCGTTCTGCCTTTTCTGTTGATTCAACTTGCTGGTACTTGGATCAATTTCAATGTTCCCATCAACTATGAATTACATGTCTATTGTGATTTCAGTCAAACCCAAGTAAATGAACTCGAAGGTGATCACAAAATAGTTGCGTATATTGATATAATTCAGAAAGTTGAATATGACTAACGCTTTGAAAAATCCGAATTTGTAGATCACAGACCTCTCAAGATTTTAAAAAGTGGACATTTATTTAGGCGAAAGTCTTCTGTCTCGCAAATAAAAAAATCTGGCACAGTTGGCATCAATATGAATGGTAAAAAAGGAAAAAAAAACAAAGTAATAAAAGTCCTCAACTTGCATGTTAAGCCAGCCTTAGCAAAATAAGTGCATTACCTAGCTCAAGCTACATGAGCTAAGAGATAAAACGGAATGCTTCGGTACTTGGCGGCTAAAGGATGCTTTGGCCGCTGCCACTCCTGTTCGGCCTCTCACCTATATAAGGCAGAAAAGCCACCACAAATTGACAAAAATGGGGACATCATTATGATGCCATCAATGATGTCATGTCAATCATGATGGGACAGTATGACGTCAATCATGTTATGTCATTTGACATCTTCACATGGCAACGTTGCTTGTTCAAAAGTAGGCTGATCACACAGGTAGTGAAATATTAAGTGAGGGGCAGAAACCTTCAGAAGTGGGAGGAACAACACAATTAATTGACAATGTCAAAGTAATGTAATGAGTCTTGTAAAAGCACGTGCTTTTGCCTGGGCTCTCATAAGCATTGCCAAAAAAATTCTCAATTCTTAACGGATAGCGTTAAAAAAACACTACAGTCAAATAAGAATTTGTCAGTGAAAGCTCAATGTATGACAATGTCTAAAACAACAATATTACCAATAGCAGTGCCCTACTTACCGAGAAATTGAGGTCAATGCACGAGAACACATGCGCTACGATAGGACATTCGCAAAATGATCCCGATTACGTCAGAGGTGCCACCTACAATTAATCACTAGCAATTGAACTAGCTGCATTAAATGAAGAACTTTCCATGCACCAAGAGACATAATAAAAGACTGCTTGTTTGTTTCCCTTCGATTCATGGAAAAAAGAACCGCTGGACGTTACTATAAGGAATAGCGCGAGTGGTTCAAAAGTTCAATTTTCGTTTGGTTAAACTGGACAGGTCGTGCCATCTAGCGGGGCCCAGTTAGCTAATAACGTCTCGGAGCGAATGGCAGAAAACTGTTGAATGGCCGTTGTTGCTGGTGTGTCTCCCGCTGCTTTCGTTCTGCTGATACTAGTGTTAGCGGCTGTGGAGTAAAGCCGGGCAACGTTGTGCACGGCAACAGTGACGGGAGACGTTCCACTTGGGTGGGTAAATTGAAGTGCGCTAACTCGATTATGGACCACTAAAACGCGATTTTATTTCAAAATAAGCACTTCCTTAGCAAAAAAAGTAACACTATCAGATTACTGGACCGTTATTTCAAGAATCAATGTCGACTTTAAGTGTCCCTTTAAAGAAATAGTTTCGTAGAAATTCTGGCGTCAGCGTTATTGGTTGTGAGTGAAAAATAATGTTTTGCTTGACTGAAAAATCAAGAGATGCAAATAAAACAAATAAAAAATTCTGGGTCCGAGTGAGTATCAAACCCAAATAGTTTGCGTGGAGCAGTTGTTCTGCCACACAGCCACGTGTCTATTTGTCAATGCAGTGAAAGTAACTTCCTCTGCTATGAAATGCAGTTAAAGTATTTTTCATGTTTTACAAACACACACGTCCTGTGTACATGCTTCACTACACGGCATGAAATATTGCAGTAATAACACGTGGTACAAGTGTACATTGCCATCAGGTGTCAGAACATGCGATTGTCATAATGACTTCATGGTTCAAAGCCGGTCACTCACTACGCAACAAACACATGTTACTACGCCTATTCTCTTAGTCACGTAGTGGGTGCATAACAAGTTCAGGAAGATTTCATGCACTAAGTGTTTGATGTACACACTTGGGATAAGATATTGCTATCGCGTTGAACTTGTTAAAGGCGAAGCTTAAGGGTTTTTTTTTCTTTACAGTTCTCCAGTGATGCATCAAATAAATACCATGCTTATTTATCAAACTTGTGCAATATACACATCAGAGTGGAAGTTGCATATTTGGAGCTGGATTACATTCTAGCAAACTAGCACGGAGGGATCTGGTCACCCTGTGTAACTCGTGCACATCACCCAGTCACATCCAGGCAAAAAGTTCCAGCTGACCTGTAAAGTGCAAGCTATGCAACAAGCTCACCACACTGGTCAGGAAGGCTGTTAAGAGTGCAGTTGTAGTGGTTCCCTAGCCACTACAACTGCACTCCAAGCCAGCTGTGGCATCCCTGTAACTAGAGTGCTTCAACAGGTCTGTGGCAAGCACCCACCCGCTAATGGCCATCAGTATCTTGCCAAAGAATAAAAGCTCACTATCCTGCGATCCCCACAGCAACAGAAACATTGCCCAGTGCATATGGGCAGGCACTGCCCATGATCACTACATGCACTATTTCACCTTACACGCTGGCACAAATGCACAGGCAAATCTTCAGTCTGATCAGTTCAGAATTCGAAGACCAAATTTGGGACATCCAGCAGGCCCGCGTAGCGGCGGAAAGGTTAAACCTTACCGTGACCACCCGGGTAGCCTAGGCCCGGCCGCTAGTCTGCAGGTTTAAGTAAAGTTATCTCCACTACATTCCCATCGCTATATAAAGAGGCCCGAGAAAGCTGTGTTGAAATGGCGACCCTCAAACACTTGCTCCTGCAGGGTAGTGGTTTGAGCTTCTACTCCACAGATGGGTGACTAAGGAGCACGGCCAAGTAGTACTTCTCATGGCCAGGAAGTGGCTGGCAAAACGTGTCGATTCCTCATACATGG